GCCATCGCCCCCTTCATTATCGGCGTTGCCGAGAGAGGACTACGCGCAGGTAGAAACAAACCAACCAGTGTTTTGCAATTGCGAGGTCCCCGTTCCCATCGTGCCAAACTGGCCCTCTGGGGGGGCGCTGGGGCCGTCGTCAATGTCTGCGCTCAGGCGCGCGGCGCGTTGGAGTTCCACGCTGTCAGGCAGGGCGCGCAATTGGGCGCGGTCTTGGACGGGGGGGGGGGGGGGGGCAGCGTGGGACCAGAGTTGGCCCATCGGGCCCAACGTTCATCGGGATCTTGGCCCACCTTGCGCAATTCCGCAGGGGGCCCTGGTTGGGGCAGCAGGTCGGTTTTACATTGAGATCCTCTCGGGTCGGCTCTGCAACTCAGGTAACTGGCCCTCGCTCACATCGGCCCAGCGCGCTAGTTTGGCGGGCGACATTGTTCGCGTGTGTCGGGCCATCATGCGCGAACCGCGCACGGGCGACGCCGCCATGAGCAATGCACAAATGTTTGGCGTGGTGTCCAAGTCGTCTCTGGACATGTGCATGATCACCCATCGTCTACGTCTGTCCGGGCGCCTGCTTTGCAATGGCTCTTGCCATCTCACTGCGTTAGCTGGAGCTGTTTACCGCGGGCCCCCACCTCTGCAGCCACTCATGGGTCAGGCGCGTGATTGATGATGTTTTTTGGCTTCGCCAATGCTCGAACATCGTGCAGCGCCGTGAGGCCCTGGTAAGGATCTAAAGCCATGGGGAACTTTCGTTCGCCACTTCTTGCTCGAGTGGAAACGGCTGATCCGTGCCGCGCTCACGAGTGCCGTTGCTTTCCACAGGCGCAACATCTTGTTTCAGGTGCTATGCGATGCTGGTTTTCCTTGGCCCGTCTCGGCCCCCTGCACCTTCTTCGTGCTCGAGAGGCCCCAGTGGCCCCCCTGAATATATGCGCGTGGTGCCCCGCTGCGTTGCCAGTGGGCCGTAGGCTCCTTCAACGCATTGCCTACGCGCGCCGTTCACAAGCGCATGTCATGCGACGAGCACTTGGGCCAGGCACATCATGCGTCTACTGTCACATGATATTCGCCCATCGACGAGGTCTTGTGGAACGCCTTGCTATGGGCTCCCCAGTTTGCGCCGCGGCAGTTGCTGCGCGCGGATCTGGCACCAATGCCGACGCACTTGCCATGTTGAGCGAGAAAGCTGCTGCTGAAACAACAAAACACCGCAAGGCAGGACTCGGAATATGGCGACATGAACATCCAGCCTACAAGGGGCCCCGGCCAGGCCAACTACCGATTTCGAGCAGCAAATTCTCCCGCTTCTGAACGTTTCTGAGGCCCGCTCCCTTCCAGTTGAATCGGGCTACGTTTTTAATGACGAAGCCATCGCGGCCATGACTGCCCCTCTCTGACCCAGAGCAGGCCGAACCGTTCGCTCCTGCTGGCCCCAAGACCCTGGATGATCGTTTCTGGCCGTTCATGCCACAGGATTTCTAAGGATTTGCCGCCCTTGGCTTGCCATATAAAATCCGCCGTTCCACCATTTTCGCTTTGAATCTGGTTTCTGGAACGAGGCGCTCTGGCGGCATTCAATGGAATCTCAAAATCGTTCGTGTCGACCCCAGTTTCGAGCTGTATTGTTTGTCTTTCGATATTGCTATCGATGTGACTCGCGGAGATCTGACCAGCGAAAGCGCTCTCGGAATTTGGGTCGAGCACGTTCGAGCCAGGAGGATGTTCAACTGAGGCGGGGGGGCCCATTGTGAGACGTGGTCGGTGGTGCGAGGGCCCCCCCCCGCGTCTCAGGACGACCGCGCGCGCTTGGGGAGTTCCAGACTGCACCCCCAGGCTAGCTGAACAGACTGGCCATCGCTCGGACGTCCATTCCCTGTGTTTTTTTTTAGTTTTTTTTTGTTTTTTTTGTTTTGTTTTTTGTTGTTGTTGCTTTTTTTGTTGTTTTTGTTTTGTTGCCAAGTGATCAAGGATGCTCCTCGATGGTCCTCGCCAAAGGGAAAACGCACACGTCCGAGCGATACAGGTAGGCTCTCAGTTGCTCTTCGCTCTAGTCACCCTCCTTGCCGAGCACCTGCGTGCTGGCGCGGCGGGGTGGGGGGGGCACCCCATGCCCCCTGATGGGCTTCCCCGCGCTCTCACCTCCTTCCGTTGGCCCCCGCTCGTTGCCCCTGTTTCGGCTGCCCTTGCGAGTTCCACGGTTTTTGAACAATGCGAGCACATGGCCTCTGACGCTGATTTGCCGTCAGTCGGTCGAGCGCCCACTCGCATTATAGGAATCATGATGCCAGAGCTCCAAGTTCAGTTGAAGTCAACGCCTGGAGGAGGCAGATGCTCCCATGGTCGTTCAGTACACATGCCTCTGCCAAGCAAAGATAGGCATCACCGTTTCAAAACAGCTTGCAAACACGTTTGCCCTGTTGGTCTGTGTTGGATCATCGCCCGCGCTGTTTACTCTTCAATTTTGTCTTTTCTCCCCAGTCCAGATGAGGACCCGGATGTGATCTTCCAGCCTGGCTCTGGTGAAAACCTAGAAGGCCTCCGATTTTTTTTACGTTCCCTGAAGGGAAGAAGCGGCTAAACGTTACCTATTTCCTCCTGACTTTGCCTTTAAGAAACGCCGCAGGACGACGCGGATCTCGAATCTCACAGGTTTATCCGTTAATCCGCTGCTGATTCTCACTCTGAGGCCAATGAGATCTCAGATCCCAGTCCAGCTCCGAAGCCCGACGAGCTGGACCACATTGGGGCGGAGGGGCGGACGGACGGACGCTGCAATTCGCGCCGGAGCGCGACCCTCTAAGAGCGCAGTGGGGGTACCAGAACGCCGAAATTCATTGCACGATGCTCCGCAATTGAACTTTGCCAGTGAGAAGCATTTGACATGCAGAACGTGGGTGCTTCGGCCTTTTTGGTCAGCCCTGTTCGCTCACCTCCCCCCTTTCCCCTCGACCCGTCGTCGACGTCGTTGGTCCTTCCGCCTCCTCCCCCTCCCGCCTTGACTGAGGAGCAGCGCACTCGGATCGAGGCTAACCGTGCCTTTGCCCGCGCCCGCAGGGAAGCCCGCGCCCGCAGGAAGCACGCTGCCAGAACTCCTGGGGCCGCCGGAAGCGTTCTCCGAGGATCCTTCTTCCCGCAAGCTGGGGGCAGCCCTGGGGATCGCCGTTTTGGCAACGAAGTCGACGGCCAGGCGGGAGCTTCCTCTGCTGCCGCCGCCGTGTCTTTTCTGTTTTTGCTGGATCAATCAAGCCCTCATCAAGCACGCACCGAGCGAAACCGCGCGTCGCAGCATCCCCCCCACCATAGGTGGATAAGGAAAATGAAGATGAGGAGGAAGAAGAGGAACAGGAGGAGGGGGTGGGGAGGAGGAGGAGGAGGAGGAGGAGGAGGAGGAGGAGGAGGAGGAGGTGGTGGAGGAGGAGGAGGATAAAAAAGAGGAGGAGGAGGCGGAAGAGAAGGATGATGATGATGATGATGATGAGGAGGAGGAGGAGGAGGAGGAGGAGAAGGAGGAGGAGGAGAGGAAGGGAGTGCGAGGAGGAGGAGGCGAAGGAGGAGGATGAGGAGGAAGAGGAGGCGGAATAACAATAATAACATGAGTAATAACAATAAGGATAATAGTTCTAATGACACTCGTCGAATCGTACTAATAGGAATAATAAGACACATGCTAAGAACCATGATGAGAATCATGGTAATTGGACTACTAAGAACAATAAGAAGAGGACCTCGGCACACGCCGCCCACGACCCCGCCCGCTCCGAGGGGGTGGATCACCGCGGCTGTTTCGGGGGTCGGGGTGGCACGGCGTTTCGGTCGGTTTTGGCTTCCCATAGATTCGGGGCGCGGACTGACAATGCATCTATTTATTTCGGCTGGCGACCGCGTCTCGAAGGACAAGGTGTTGCAGATGGCGCCTTCCTTCAAGGAACCGCTGAACCACGGCATCGAGTTCTTGTGCATCAAGCGCCAGGTGGAGGACCGTTGCCCTGAGTTGGCAGATCTCTTTCATGTGGCTGGCAACGGCGGCCACGACACAGAGCAGACGCCGTCAAATGTTTACCACTCTGCTCACATCCACAAGAGGCCGGCAACGCAGAAAAAGAACACGGGCAACGTAGATTGGCAAAAGCTCACGGCGTCGCTCGAGCGCTCCGCGCAGTACCTCCACGGCCAGGCCGGAGACTTGCGTGCGTTCGTGAAGCACTGTTCGGGCGGCACGGTTCTGAGATGGTTGCACGAGCTCCATTCTTGGGTCGAAGACGTGCAGGTTTACCCGCGACGCCGAGTCGCCGACGTTCAGGGTCCATCCTCCTTCATGGCACCTCCCGTCTCCTGCGTGGCACGCTGGCGGTCATCTTGGGCCTTCATACTCCTCCTTTGCAAGAACCAGTCACGATATGATGATGCAGGCGCCGTGCGTTCCTTCTGCGTGGGCAGGCGGGCGAAGGCTGACCCCTGTCCCGACCGCGCCAAGCTGCCCCCCTTTACCCCTAGAGTCCTGGCGGGCTGGGTCAAGCGCGGTCGGATCAAAAAATCCGGGGTTTCTGAATCTGGGATTTCCTCCCAACGTATGATAATGCATTATATATATAATATGGGGTATGTTAAACTCCCGACGTAAAACACACGATGTTAGGAATCACACCGGGCGGGATCCTGCCCTGCCAACGCAATATGGTTCACTGAGATGATTCAATTCCAATTCGCGACGAAACCTTTGTAAACCAGATGTATGCCGTGTTGGGCGCCATTTTGGGCGATCGGAAACAATCGTTGAGCTCCCTTCAACGCCGCCGCCGTCGCGTTTGCTCACGCTGTTGCGGCCTCTCTCGCGGGCCTGCTTGGCGGGCGCCATGTGCCCCCCCCGCGGGCACCCGGCTTCGCAAGGGCAGCTGCAGCACGATTGGTCAAGCGGTTAACTGAAGTGGTTGGGAAGGGCAACGCGAAGGGCGCCTGTGAGGAAAAGTAGTTGCATCACGACTAGCGTACTCGTCCTGCTTGTAATAAACATGTCCTAGCAGAGTGCAGCCAACGTGTCAGACGTGACCATACCGCACGGGACACATCATCGACACACAATAAGTACGTCGTCAAAGAACTCGCTCATATCTACACGCGGTAAACCACACGCATAATGACGCCGTAGTGAAACATACCTGAGATATAGTCGCCCAGACACAATAAGGAGGCGTTCGCATAACTGTTTTTGCAGGGCTTGGCTTCCTGGCAGCAGACTGGCCAACTTATAACTGATCCTCTGGACAAAGTTCATGGTGTTTCTCCTACTATTGTCATACAAACTCCGTTGCAAACAGAAACAATATGTGTGTTCCCTGCCAGGGAGCCCAACCCTGCAGAGTCTTTTCAACTTCCACTGGTGGGCCGATCCTCCCACCGGGGAGCCAGCCCTTCCAGCGGGGAACGAACCTCTCGCCGCGACGCCCCGCGGGACCTGTTCACGGCTTGAGCATGAACCACGTGGGGGGCATATCGTCGTGGGTCAGGAAGACGCTCGTGCCCTCGGGCGAAGCGCGGCGGGGGGGGGGGATGGGGCGGGGAGCGGCAGGTCGGGGGATGCGTTGGGGGAGGCGAGCGGGGAGGGTGTGCGAGGAGGGGGGCCCACGGTGAGTGGGAGGGGGAGAACAGGAATGGAGGAAGAGGGGGAGGGGACACATGGGAGGTCAGGTCCCGGGCCACGGGCCCCGGCTCCAGGCCGACGGATCTCTTCAGCCCCAGCGCCTTCCCCTGATTTCTCGCGCTCTGGGGCCTGCCCTCGGGCCCAGGGGACCATCGAACGTGGGCCCGGGATGGAAAACTACTCCAAGGCCGCCCGACGGCCCGTTCTGGCCCCCCCACGCCTACCGAACCCAACCCCTCAAACCATCCCCCCCCCGTGCCCCACCCATGACAGTCCGTGCCTGCCCCAACACTGATCCAAGTCCGCCCGACGGCCCGTTCCGGCCTTCCCCCCCCCACGCCTACCGAACCCACCGCCTCAAACGATCCCCCCCCCCGAACCCCACCCAGGACAATCCATTCCTGCCCCCTCCGGGGGAGGCGTCGGGAACTCTTGGGCTGCGGACTGAAAAAGCACACCGTCGGGTGTTTGGGGAGGTACACCGGGGAACAAGCATTGGACCCCATCCGGAGTTCCCGGCTGCGACCGTTCAGATGGCCTCTGAATTCTTCCCATCGCGATGTGATGTGTTGCTACGACTTGCGATGCACGTGCCTCGTTGTGCTCGCTTGTCCGTGTGCCGCGCGCATGGGGTAGCCCCCCAGCGGATTTCTCGATCTGTTTTTTTTCTAGCTGTTTCGTGGAGAAAGGCAACTTTAAAAAACTTACCTCTATCGCGCGCATGCCAACGCATCTGACCAGAGAACAACGGACAGCTCGCCCCTTGGCCCCCTGCCAGCCCCACGCCAAGGGGCGAGCACATATACGGGCGCAACACCGCGCTGGATGTGTAGCCTTCGGCTGGGCAAGGCATGGCCCCCTGGCTTCAAACTGCCAGCGACAAGTCCACACCGCCCCGACTTACAACTGCCACTGCAATATCCTCACGCCCCTCGCTTACAACTGCCAGTGAAATATCCCCACCCCCTGGCTTGAAATTGCCAGCGAAGAGTCCTCACGCCCTCGCTTACAACTGCCAGCGAAATATCCCCTCGCCCCTGGCTTAAAACTGTCAGCGAAATATCCCCACAGCGCTCGCTTAAATCTGCCAACGAAGTATCCCCACACCCCTCGCCCAAAACTGCCAGTGAAAAGCCCTCACCGCCCTCGCTTAAAACTGCCAGTAAAACTGCCAGCGACATGTGTTTACCCCCCCTCACGTAAGCTGCCAACTTAAAACTGCCAGCGAAGTCTCCTCGGCGCCCTCACTTCTGCTGCCGGCGAAATTTCCGCACATCCCTCGTTTGAAACAGCGAGCGACATATCCGCACCCCACTGAAAACTGCCAGCGAAATATCCTGACCGCCCTCGCTTAAAATTGCCAGTGAAGTATCTCCACGACCCTCGCTCAAACTGCCAGCGAAATATCGTCTGCCCCTGGCCTAAAACTGCAAGCGAACAATCCTCACCCCCCTCACCGAAATCTACCAGTGAAATATCCTCACCGCGCTCGTTTCAAACTGCCAGCGAAGTATATCCTCACACCTCTCGCTGACAACTGCCAGCCAAATACTTACGCGGGCCGAACTACTTTCACCTTGAACCCCAAATGTTGGAAGCGACGTGCCGTCCAGGTGTGCGGATACAAGTACCGGTCCCGTCGGCATGGGGCGCGCCATATGTCAGTTGAGGAGATGCGGGAGTTGGCCGGGCCCGCTGTGGCGTTCGAGCAACCTTATGTTATGGAAGGATTTCTGGGAGATGGCCAGGCCCACTGTGGCACTAGAGCAACCACATGTTAGGAGAGGAATTGAGAGAGGTGGCCGGGCCCGCTGTGGTGCTCGAGCTTCCGATATTGACACTTTGGTTGTGTGTCCTCATGCTCCCCGTCCTCCCTCTTCCGTCCTCCCCCCACCTCCTCCCTCTTCCCCCCGCCTCCTCCTCCCTCTCTTTCCTCCTTCCGCATCCCTCCTCCCTCCTTCTCCTCCTCCCCTTTCTTCCTCCTTCCCCCCCCTCCTCGCTGATTGTTCCTTTCCCTGTCCTTCCCCCTCCTGTCCCTTCTCTCCTCCTCCCCCCTCCTCGTGCCTCCTCCCTCCTCCTTCCTTTCTCCGTCCTGGGAAGACTCTTTGTAGAATCGTAGCTTTGGTCAGCAGGTCCACAGTTCCGTGGATCGCATGATGCTTCGCGTGCGGTGCCCCGCGGATCCAATGTCCCCCGGGTCTGGGATGTAAATTGTTATTGCGTATTCATTTCCAGAAAATAAATGGATTCATTGGTTTTGCACACATGGGAAGTTGGATCTGCGCAAGACAGGCATATGATCCACGATTCTGTCGCACACCCGAAATGTTATCCAATTGGGCCCATCGGTTATCTGATACTTTAACCCAATAAGGCAAACACTTTCGGCCTGGGGATGTACCCTCGCCATCCTGGCTTAGAACTGCCAGCAACATATCCTCACCGCCCTGACGTAAAACTGCCAGCGAAGTATCTCGACACCCCTTGCTTATAACAGCCCACGAAATATCATCACGCCCCTGGCCTAGTACTGCCAGCGAGATATCCTCAACACCCTGACTTAAAGCTGCCAATGAACTAACCTCACCGCCCTCGCTTCAAACTGCCAGCGAAATATCCTTACGCCCCTGGCCTAAAACTGCTAGCGAAAACTCCCCACCGCCCTCGCTCAAAATTGCCAGCGAAATATCCTCACCACCCTCGCTTGAAACTGCCAACGGAAAATCCTCACCACCCTGGCCTAAAACTGCCAGCGAAATATCCTCACCGCCCTGACTTCAAGCTGCCAGCGAAATATCATCACCCCCCTGGCCTAAAACTGCCAGCGACATTTCCTCATCCCCGGATATAGAACTGCCATCTAACGGCTTTGGCGATTCAGTTCAGTGCTGTCAGTCAGCTCTGTCAGCCAATTTTGCCTACTCCCCGAAAATTCAATCACGGGCTGCGCCCGTAAAACAAATTTCGCGCGCAGATCAACCCAATCGCGCGCATGCCTTCGTATCTTACCAGATACAAGATTCATCGGCACAATCATCCTTATCCACTCATGTTTCTCCTCCTCCCCCCCCTCCCCCCCTCCTCCCCGCTCCTTCCGTCCCTCCCTCTGTGCCTTCTGCCATCTTTCGCCACTGGGGCCCAGGGTGGAGACCCCCATGAGGCCACGAAACGCTTGTTGGTGTGCCGACATGGGCGGGGAACCGCGTGCGTGGACGGTCGCTGGGGCCGTGGCCCCTTTCTCATCTTCCCGCCTCCGCCCATCACACACTCCATTTCCATCGCTCCTCATCTCTTTCCTCCCTCCATTGCTAGTCATCTCTCGATCCTGCCTGAAACTCTAGCACTCGCTCCCTCTACTTTCATCTCGCCCCTCTTTGCATGTCTCCGCTTCTCTATCTGTTTTTCCCAGATAGCTCCAGGCATTCACGCCCACACATGCTGTCCCATAATTAAAGGCTTCTCCGATGAGAGAACAACTGCCCTCCATTATAAAACAACCGCTTCGGCCGCGATCGTCGACCGAACAATACCAAACGTCACCCCTGCTCTATAAGCTGCATGTTGGGAGCCATCAAACTATCCAGGCGAATGACCCAACCATGCGCAGTTGCGAGTGCCGTCGTTGTGAATACCGCCTTCGGTGGAGCTCCCTATGAGGCCACGAAGCGTGTGAGGGGTGTGCTGAAATGGGTTGGGCGGCAACCTGGGGACACCGCCACTGGGGCCTTCGGTGGAGCACCAGTGGGGCCACGAAGCGTCTGCGCGGTGTGCCGAAGTGTGTGGGGCGGCCGCCTGTGGAAACCGCCACGGTGGCCGGCAGGGGTGGGGCGGTTGCATGTGGACGTGGCCGCTGGGGCCTTCGGTGGAGCTCCCTGTGGGACCACGGAGCGTGTACGGGGTATGCTGACACGGGTGGGGCGGCCGCATGTGGTACATCCCCCTGGGGCCTTCGGTGGAGCTCCCTATGGGTCCAGGAAGCATGCGAGGATGTGTCGACATGGGTGGGGCGGCCGTCTGTGTTACTGGTACCCCCCCTGGGGCCTTCGGTGGAGCCTCCTATGGAGCCACGAAGCGTGTGAGAGATGTGCCGAACTGGGGGGCGGAGCTGCATGCGGACCCTGCCACTGGGGCTTTAGGTGAAACTCCCAATGGAGCCACGGAACGTGTGAGGGCCGCGCTCGGATGGGGGGAGGAACTGCGTGCGGACATTTCCACTGGGGCCTCCCGCGGAGCTCCATATGGAGCCACGAAGCGTGTGAGGGGCACGCCCATACTGCCATGGGGGCCTTCGATTGAGTTCCCTATGGGGCCACGAAGCATGTGAGGGCCGCGCCGAGATTGTGGATGGAAATGCATGCGGATCCTGCCACTGGGGCCCGAGGTGTAGCTGCCTCTGGAGCCACAAAACGTGTGAGGGTCGCGCCAAGATGGGGGTTTGGAACTGCGTGCGGGCACTGCCACTGGGACCTTAGGTTGAGCTCCCTATCGGTCCTCGAAGCGTGTGAGGGTCGCGCTGGGATGGGAGGTGGAACTGCATGCGGACACTGCCACTGGGGCTTTAGGTGGAGCTTCCTACGGAGCCACGAAGCGTGTGAGGGGTGTGCCAGAATTGACATGTGGAGAGCACAAGCAGGGATGGTAGGAGGAAGGAAGGAGGAGGGGAAATAATGAGGAGGGATGAGACGCGGGGCGCTTTCTTTTCAACACGAGGACCCAACACCACAAGATGGTAGGGGAAACAACTGCTACGATAACTGGGGCGGTCGACCCATTGCCAGAGCCACGTCTGACCCCGTCAACGCTGAGACGGATGTTCGATTTCTCGGCCACCGCCCGTGTCATACAGACGCCCTGCGCGTCCGCTCGCGCTGCGCCCTTATCGAGGGCAAGGTTGGCCGCGTGATCTGCAAGGCTGTTGAAGTGGCGTGGGTCACACACCGTAAGATCAGAACTTCGGGTGGGCGGCTACGCCCCGCTGCAGAACAAACCCTCCGAACGACGAGCGACACCAGTGCAGACGGACCGCGAGAGCTGCCCCTGCGGGGCATCTCTGCTGGCATGCAGTTCAGCGACCTGCTGATTATCCGCCCGTGCCCACAGCGGCAAAGGCCCGATAAGCCCATCCAAGCTCGCGAGGATGAACTGGAACATCTGGGGCTTCACACTGAGGTGTGCTAAGCCTCACAGTGCGTGGCACGCTGGCCGCCTCGTCGCTCAGCGCGCTCTGTTCGGTCGGTGGCAGCGACCACGCTCGACACTACTACACGTAGACCGTTCGCAAATGCACGGCCCGTTCATCGTTGGAGCGTCCTGCAGCGTTCGCGACGGCTTCGCCAAGCCACAGACATCGACGAACGGCTATTCCCACCCGGTTCGCTGATGCCCGCTGCGGCTGTGAATCAGCTCGCGTTTCCGCCTCTTGCTTTCAGTAGCGAATGCCCTCAAAAATACCACAACCGTGCCGTGCAAGACTGCACTCTGCGACCTCCGCTTGAGCTCGAATTCACCAAGTACCATATCTGCTCTATCGGCACCCTCGGACATTGTAGTCCTCCAGCTGCAGCAATCCACTCGCCGGCCCGCGCCCGCAGACCACTCCGCCTCACTCCGTCCATCTTGTACCCGTGGAGCGCCCGCATGCTCGAGAACCTCTCGGACCCCGTCCCCTGCGCCCTGGCAGCCTCGTGCTGAGCAGCCCCTGGGCCGCCCCTTGGCACGATTCCTGCCCAGAGCCTGGGCCGCAGCACCGGCGTCGGGCGCTCCACGTCCTGAGCGCCTTGCCCGCCTTCACTTCCCAGTCCGCGGCCGCTCCCTTCTCCTCCCGCCTCCCTGGTCTCAGCAGCACGTTCTAGGTCTCCACGCCCGAAGCGACCGCCAGCGCCGCGGCAAGATGTAAGATCGCACCACCCTAGGTGGTGCAAATCTCGACTGCCAAGCATGCCAGGGATTCTAACCGTGCCGACTTGTACCCTGCCTTTAGAATGGGTCAGCAGGGTTGGCCACACAGGATTTGCCTCATTCGGCTGTCCGTCGATCGTGCTCGCCAGGTCGCCACTTGAGCCGCAGAGCCCGTCGAAGCACTTTCAGCTCCCATGCGCGGGCTTCCTGAAGCAGCGTCGGTGACGAATGCTGGCCGCCCGCGTTGCACTCTGCAACTGAGGCTCTGGATGCGCCTCAAACCAGGAAGGGCTTTGATTCTGGTAGCGAAAGATTGCCGAGCACAATCTGGTGTTTAGGATAGTGCCCCTACAACTTCGCAATCATGTGGTGCATGCTGGCTGATGTCGAATCGGTGCTCCCTTGTCAATCTCCAAATCATTATATGCCGCTATTCCGTTGGTACTGAATGATGTTTCCGCCAACTCAACTGCTAAACCCCAGGTCGTTGCGCTGCGCTGAAATAGACATCATGGATTTGAGCAGTTCGTTGTTCCAGGCAAGATGGTGCTCCCCATCTGCATTTCGAACCTCGAAGAATCATTGTTAAGATCATCTGCTCCCTCGCCTCCTTGTCAGTTCCCCCCTCTCCCAAACTCCCTTTTCCCTCCAGTCCTCCCTTCTGCCAACTCCCTTCGCCCTCCTTCTTTCCCGCCTACCTACGTGCATCCATCACTCTACTCACCTTCCCGTCTTTCTCTCATCACTCCTCCCCTTCTCTCCTCCTCATCCCCACCTCTTTTTCCTCCTCGTCCTCCGCCCTCCGCTTACTATTCCCTTCTACCCCTCATCCCTCCTGCCTCTCGTTTCCTCACCCCTTCTTCCCTTCTCCTTCCTCCCGCTCCGGCCTTCCTCATCCCCTCCCTCTTCAATTCCCTCTGCCCTGTCTCTCCCCTCCTCGTCGTACCGCGCCCCTGCGTGTGCACATCGAAGGCGCCAGCAAAGAGAGACTTGCGCTGGAGGTGCGATGGACAACCACAAACCGTTCGCCACGCAAACAGATCCTCTGGGCCTCACGCCACCCTTGCCGCGCATATCAGGCGAGGCTCCATCGGTGGAGGGACCACCGCCACCATCACCAACATCACTGCCAAGCATCCAAGCACACGATGTGCGCCGCCGTCATCCGCATCATGACCGTCGCCATTTGTTCCTTCGCCGTCAACCCCGCCATAGTCACCGTCATCACCTCCACCACCAAGATCGCATCCACCCAGGCACCCTCCGCTACCTCCGAGCAGAACCGCTCTTTCACGCCGCTCCTGTCGAGCCGCGAACCGGTCCACCGCGGACTTCACGCGCACGTGCCCGTCGGCATCGTCTGCGTAGGTGCTCCCGGCCATGATCCCTCGGGCAGTGCCGGGCTTAGCTGCCCCGATACGCAACACGCAACACGTATCGTCTTGATACGGAGCTCGATACGTAGGTCCGACGCGATACACTCGCCAAAACGTGGTCCAATACGTGGAGCCAACACGCAACGTATTGACACGGACGTCTTGAACACAGGACGTATTGCGTTTCAAAACGGGCGTATCGATGCAACTAAGGTGCCGGGAGGCGCGGGCGGGGGGGGGCTGGGCGGCTGGCTGGCGCGCACCAGTCCGAGTTCTGGAGACTTCGGCCGCAGGCCTCAGACGCCGTGATTCTGCCCGGCACCTGGCCCCCAGTACACGTCGGTCGGAAGAAGTAGGTAGAAACATGAAGTGGGAAGGCGGATTAAGTTGATTGGGCCCAGGCCCTCCCAGAGAATAAGAAAACACAGCAAAAGCGTGCCGATTCTTGAAGTAGGAGGGCGCTTGAAGTAGATTGGGATCAGGGAATCCAGAAATACCTACTTTCAACGACCTGCGTGTACCGCTCCGAAGCCTTTTCCCCTGCCTTCCAAGAGGCTCCGCCGCCTCCCTGAAAAGGTCCCCCCCCTCTCGTCACCCCCGTGTGGGCGCCTCCAAACCTCTTGACCCCTTCCCCGAGACCGGCCTCTCTCAGTCGAGACCCCAGAGCGGGCCTCGAAGGAGCACGCCAGCATCAGAGAAATCGCGCCCGAAGTCTGGGATCCTTCGGGGATGCACAGACCCCCCTTTGGTAAAACGTTGTTTAGTGACAACCTCCACGGCGCCCCCTCGAAAACCGAAAACGGACAATTCATTAATCGACGTGGCACTGTTGGGGGTTCTGTCCACCCCCGAATCCTGGGCAAGAAGCAGGGCCACTCCTTTCAGCCGTAAGATCGGTTTGAGGCCGTACTCGGCTACGCCGGGATGGCCGCAGGGCCCATGGCAGGGACGAGCTTCGGTGCGCGGCGGCTTGCCGATCGCCGCGTGCGACACGGCTGCGAGCGTGTCTTTGCCCCCGCGCGCCCCTGGAAGGCCTTTGGACCCAAAGGCCACGCCGGCGAAAGGCCACCCCTACGCGCAGCCGACCACTGGCGAGCCATAGCATGGATGAACAACGACCGACATCAGCATACGGCTAGCGTTGGACAGATCGCGTGCAACACCGGTCTCCGGAAAAAACGCGCTGTCCCTGGAGGCGGTCTTCCACTGATGGCCCCCTCTGTGCACGATATCCCCCTGCTTGGGCTTCTTCGGTGCCTGCTATCTTCAAGGTTGGGGATCGGTGCAATGATCGGACTGGCGGCGCCACATCGCACGATCTTTCCAAAGACGCCAACCGTACACCTTGAGAGTTTCGCGAGGATTTCTTGGATCAGCGTTGGATCGGCTTTCGGGCTCGGCGGGGAAGAGGAGCCAGGATGGAGAGGAGATGGATGAGGGAAGAGGGAAGAGTGAGCCGTTGGGTCAACTATGCGGGTTGTGGATGCTGCTGTCAGTCAAAGCGGAGGAAGGACAGGGGAACGAGGAAGGAGGAGAGGAGAGTATGGAGGGGGGAATAGCGAGTGGACAGTGGGGAGGTGGGATGAGGGAGGAGTGCCAGTACAACTCAGAGCGCCCAGGAGGGAAGAGGGAGCTAGAAGGGAAGTCCCTGGAGGTCTCCAAAGGCTTGTGTCGACGTCGCATGCGCAGAAGACTGGTGGAGGACCCTCAGAATCGAAACCATATAAAGATAACTTACAACTCCCCAGACTTCGGACGTCACGTTTTTGGTGCGTCTACGGCCCCAAGACCTCTCGACCCCTGCCGTGGCGCCGCGTTTTCATTGCGGATCGTGGTTGATGGCCTGTGGACCCGAACGCGGCGTCCATGGGCAGGAAGCAGCGAACAGACTCCGCCGTTGAGGATTCGAGGCCTGCTCTTTTCGAAATCGGCCCCCTGACCTTTCCAGGGTTACATGTCGAGTAGAACTGCGAAGGGAGCCCGGATGCCCAGTGAGGGCGAACAACGTCAACAGGCCTCGCGATACTCGGCCTGTGCTCGACCGCTCCTCCTCCTTGAACCTCCCAGAGGAGGAGGGGGAGGAAGATCAGGATGAGGAGGAAGGGGAGGAGCGAACGAAACCAATCGATCCCGTTCGGAGCGGCTACCGCGGGCGCGCGGTGGCCTGGCGACTCAGGTTGTAGCCGTAGTTGTTGTAGGTGGAGAACTTGGAGGCGTAGTGGGCAGAGGGCTCGCACTCGCTTGACTTGCTGGAGTCGCACTCGTAGGAGTCGCCATCCAGCCCAGTATGCGACCAGTCGGACTCGAAGCGCAGATCTTCAGAATAGCCGAGGCACTTGGCGAAGTCGTACATGTCGCTTACCGTGTCACAATCGCACGCACCGAACACTCCCAGCATGTCCATCATGCCGCCCTCGAGAAGCCACTGCTGGTCGTCGGGCAACTTCGAGTCAGAGTCCACGGAGGGCTTCATCACGGCATCGGCCATCTCATCGGAGAACTCGCTTGGTGACGACGCTTGAGCAGGCCAATCAACACACTCTGCAGCATCTGTACTCCATATCAGGTCGAGCACGAAAAACGGAAGTCGTTCAAGGAGTGGCCGACAGACGGGCCGATAGTACCGAGCTCGATCATCTGGCTGGAAATGTTCTGCACGTCGGCGGAGCCCACGAACTCGCTGATCATCGTCTGCTTGACGGTGTTGAGGGAGGAGAGCTCTTGCCTGTGTCCTTCCTGGCGTGCAAGCAGTGTCTGCAACTGACTCTCGATAATGAGCCACTTGGACTTGGACGAGTCGATGAGGGGGTACAAGCATTGCACGTCGAAGGAGGCGGGCGCGTTCGACAACGCGGCGTCGGCGTCCACAGGCGTGGCAAGAGTAGGACTGAGGAGCAGATTGGCATCCGTGTGGATCATGTCGGACTCGCCCTTGGCGGTGAGCTGGTCCCTGACGTAGGCGATCTGGTGCTCGGCGGAGGTAGCAGTCTCGTCCTTGGCGGTGAGCTGGTCGCGGGCGTTGTCGCTCTGGAGGTCGGCGGTGGAGGCAGTCTCGGACTTGTGGATGATGGCCATGGCGTCGTTCATCAGCGAAGCCTGCTGGGTGCCCAGCTGGTCCGCGATGGTGGCGAACTGGTGCTCGGCCGCGGAAGTGACGTCGGCCAATTCCTGCTTGAACTCGGAGTTTTGGTTCTGGAGCTTCTTAAGGAGGCAGTCGATAGAGCGTTGGTCATCTCGCCGTAGCTTTTCCCTCTCGGCAAGCGCGTACTCCAGCGTCTCGAGCTTCACATGGAGGAAACCGAATGAAGCACAGCATCATCGCGTGGGCGACCATCGCCAGATATCACCTCTGCCAAGGAGATGGTATCCAGGGAGCTGACCTTGTCGGTGTTCACTTTCTTGTGGGCCGGCGGTGCGCCAGAAGCCGACGAGGCAGCCACCGGTGAAGCAGCAGGCTCATCAGCACGCGCTTCCTGTAGGCGACCAGCTTGATGCTTGGCTCTATTGGCATCTCGATGATCTCGGAGACGCTGACGAAGAAGCTCGGGAGGCAATTCCGCACCAGCAGCAACTCCGCGGGCGAAGTGATGAGGAGCAGGCGCATGACGATCATCGATGGCGTGAAGCCCCATGGAGTGAATCGCCTTCGCCGCCGATTGCTTCAGGAAAAGTGGGACGGCAAGCCATCGTAGGCCAGGACCTGGAAGGGGTTGAAGAAAGCCACGTTCCTCCGCCCGAGCATGGCGTGCCGCGCGGCTAGCCAAGGAGCGGCATCCAGGCATGAGATAAGACGGGAGGAGGCGCCAGCACTCGATGGTGCACGCTCGCAGCACACTAACGATGGGGCATCGGTGGCTTGAGCCAGAATGGCTACGGAGGGGGAGGAGGAGGAGGAGGAGGAGGAGGAGGAGGAGGAGGAGGAGGAGGAGGAGGAGGAGGAGGAGGAGGAGGAGGAGGAGGAGGAGGAGGAGGAGGAGGCGAGAGTGGAGAGACCGAAAGGGGGCTCCAGGGAGTGGTCGGGAACGCTGCTCGTCTGGGCTCTCCTCCTGTGTACACGCATTCCTCCACTCTTGTGCACAGGTAGACATGCATCTTGGAGGCCTGGGTCCTCCTGCCTCTTGCCTTTGCGTGACTCGACTCTCGGCCTCAGTGCTGCAAGCTTCTGTGCGCTCGGCCTGCAGAACATTCCGTGCTCAACAAGACCCGGCATAACGGCAGCGCAGAGGAAATACAGGTGACACGTAGAGTAGCCCGCAAGGGCTGAGGTGGGCACGACGGCAAGGCTCCCCCCCCTCCCGCACACACCACCACACCCCTAGCCTCACTCTTGTCCCTCCTCCTGAAGGAGGACGAGGGGGTGTGGGCAACTGACAAGGGGGTGCGGGCAGCGGCTGGGAGCTCTCCTCCTGGAGCCAAGTCTGGCCTCCTCCTCCACCTGCCTCCCTGCTCCTCCTCCTCTTCCTCCTCCTTCATCCATCCGCATCCTCCTTTTCCTGCTCCTCCTCCTCCTCGGCGTCCTCTTCCTCCTCGGCGTCCTCCTCGACCTCCTCCTCCTCCTCCTCCTCCTCTTTTTTGACTCCGCGGTCTGCGCCGCAGGCGCTAAACGTCGACGGCGTCCAAGGAAAAGGGGCAGCAGGCGCCGGCGCCGCCTAAAGCGGTCAGACAGCAGAGCGACGCGCGCGAGCCGAGGGCCAGAGGCAACGGGGGGCGCGAACCTAGAGAGGGAGGGAACAAGGGAGGAGCCAGGGGCGGAGAGGGACTGAGCGGAGCAGTGGCAGGGAGGAGCGCCAGACAGCGAAACGCAGAGGCCGAAGAGGAGGAAAGGCGGGGATAGCCAAGGCGCGGCAGGGCCCGAGCGGACGCGACCGCGACGCCCGACAAAGGGGCAGGAGCGACACCGCGAAACGACACGACGCGAGGACGACAGCGACAGCGACGACGTCCGACGGCAGCGACGCGACAAAAGCGAGAGGACGAGAACGACGCGGACCCGCGCGGCGGCCCCAGGGCG